AAAAAAAAAAAAAAGATATTTGCTGCATGACTCTTGTGTGCAAGGTCCTGGTTATAAAATGTTGAAGAATGTAGATGTGATCCCTGCCCTGACAGTTTTCATAACAGTGGAGGGATACAGAAAGGTAAAACAGGCCATTATCATAAAGTACGACAAATACCACAGAAGGGAGTGCAGAGAGTCATAGGCGCTCATAAAAGGAGAGCCAACCCTAGACTTGGTTGTCTAGTATCACAGTGGTTGTGACTAGAGCTTGAGTCCTACAAACCTGAGTTCAAATCCTGGTTTCACTGGTTCTACTCTATGATCCTGGCCAATGATTTAATCCGTCTAAGCCTCAATTCCATCAACTTGAAAGTAAGAATAATGATAGCACTGAGCTCAAAGAGTTGATGTGAGCATTCAGTGAAACCTGTGACATAAATCTGACACAATGTTTGGCAGATGGCAAGCACCCGAGAGAGAGTAGCTAGTAATATTAATGATACCAGTAAGCTGAGAAGTGCTGCATGAATATAAACAGCTAGGTAAAATGGAGAAGAGGAAAGAGGCGGAATGTCCCAGAAAAAGGAGAAATGTATGCCTAGAAAAGCAACAGCATGGTGAGCTTTAGTGAAAGAAGCTGGCTTGAGCCAAAGGGTTGGTAGGCACCTGGGGTAGGGTCAGAGATGCAACTGAAGCTGGAAAAGCAAGAGAGTCCAGTTCAATGGGTTCATAAAGCTTAATAGGGATCCCTCAAGAAGTTTCATCGTAGCAGGGACAGGATCAGATTTGAGTTTTAGAAAGACCAGCTTAGTCACGGTGTGAAGAACAGAATAGAGAATAAGGAGACAGAAGGCAAGGATATCAGTGGCAATAATCTTAAAATAATGCCTTAGTCGTTGTGGAATTTCAGTTAGAGAGTCAAGTATCGCATGAAAAATATATACAACAGTACAAAGAAGGCCTTGAAGTAATTATTATCAGCTTGTTAATATCGGCTAGTTAGGATTTCATTTATTCATTTATTCACTCAACAACTAAGGCAGTAAACTGGTATTGTGAGCAGTTTCAAAGAGTATTAGTCACCCTGCATAGCCCTGCTTTCCAGAAGCACCCCATCTAATACAACTGCCCATATTTCTCTCTCCAGCTGGAAGGTCTGCTACTCTGCTGATTCAGATCATGTGCAATGGCAAAGGTGTTTTTGGGAGACCACGTGTACCTGCAGGAAGCTCAAGCTGGGAGGAAGTGCTACAAAGCAGATTAGGATGGATCCTAAGGTATGCAGATGACTCCCCTTCACCCTGGGAAGGAGAAATGTCACTGTAATGTCACATCACTATATAGTAGACTTCTCACTGCTCAAGAAGAAGCAAATCTTCCATGACCTAATATGAAATGAATAATAACCAGCATTCATGAAATGTCCTATCCTATACATTTCAGATAGGTTAATAAATTTATTACAACCACTTTATGAAATAGGTATTATTATGTCCACTTTTCAGGTGAGAAAAATGAGGCAAGAGACACTACCCAAGGCCACAGAACTGGATGCAGTCTGACGATCCTACCCACTACACCATGTGGCCTCTGGCAGGGGGCCACCAGACCGATATAAGACTGAAGCCGTTCCAAAATGTATGCCTCAAAAACTGACAGAGAAAGATCACTGCCCACTTTAGCACTGGGAAGGCCAAACTTGGGAAGGTTTTATTACAGGAATAAAATGAAATGGATGATTAAATATGTGACAGTATGTTGACAGGAAACTGGATTACTTTCATCAAATGAGTACGATTTTGAAAAGGTTTCTGAAATCTTTTACTCTTTTAAGCACAAACCACAATTGTGTCATATGGCCTAGGATATACTAGTATTCAAATGGCGTTACATGCTTATCAGTTTAAAATAGAGTGGGCCATCTCACAAACCCAAAGGTGTGGCAAAGAAAATAAAAAGGTAAAGTGAAAAAGACCCATTACTCTTTTTGTTTTCTGCTAAGGCAGGGTGGAAAAAAAGATAAATTGTCTCAGTAAGAATTAAGTGGAATATGCTTATTCTTTCAGCCCATGTATGGTTCTATCAACTAACTAGCGAAGCGTGTGTAGAATAAGCATATTCAAAAAAAATTGTTTTAATGTTTATTTATTTTTGAGAGAGAAAGAGAGCGAGCAAGCCAGGGAGGGGCAGAGAGAGGGGGAGCCACAGAATCCGAAGCAGGCTGCAGGCTCTGAGCTGTCAGCACAGAGCCTGATGCGAGGCTTGAGATCATGACCTGAGCCGAAGTCGGAGGCTTAACCCACTGAGCCACCCAGGCGCCCTTAGAACAAGCATATTTTAACCATAAGCTCTATGGGGGCATTTCCAATGTGAATTGAATAAAGACAAAATAGAAGAAAAAAATCCCGAACCGCCCAGATATGAAAGAAAACACCAGCTTCTTGCAATGCCACTCGATGCAATAGCAACGGAGAGTCTTGAGCTTGGGCTCTTAGCCGGTCAATAAGGGGAATCCCAGGCCAGATGGCTTTTTAAAATCCATTCTCACTCTGTCTCTCTCCACCAACCTACCACGGGTTTAAAGCAATCACAGCCATTTTCCCAAGCTGCAATATTTTAAAGGAGTCTCTTTTCTTTGAGAACACAAAAAGCTCTAATTGTTAGAAGTTTAAAAACACAGAGAATAAAGATCATGGAATCTGTGAAACAACCATTTCTAATTAAACACAGACACACACCCCCAGCACTCTACCCTGAGTACAGCTTTTCACACCTAGCCTATTCACGAACACATTATTCACAGCTCACCAACAAACCATTCTTACAATCTGCTGGACTCACTCCTCACCACTCAAAAGTAACTCGGGACGCCCTAGGTCTGTGGGCTCCGACACCCGCTTAGTTCATCTGCCCCGCGCTGGTCCGAAAACCCTCGGCAAGGCTAGGGGGCTTCAGTGTCACCAACTGACGCTGCCCCCCACCCCCTCCGGGAGTCCTCGCCCGGCATCCGCCCGCCCGCCTGGAACAGCCACCCTCCCTGCCCCTGCTCCCTCGGAAACGCTCCGAGTTGCATCGTCTTTGCCACTGTTTAATCTTTCCAAATAAAAATGTCTGTGAGGTGGATTCCCCACCCCACCCACCTGCCGGAGTCCGCACAACCACACTCAGTCGGGTCGTCTTGGAGGCACCCAAGCTCTGTTCACCCGGAGGCGTGAACAATGAACTTCTCTCTCTTTCTCTCTCTGACTCTCTCTCTCAGACACACCCTCTCCCCCAAATGAGAAGTTTTAAACTAGCCCGGGGGCCAATTCCGCGATTCCGGCTGCAACTGGGGCGCGGGCGGCGGGCGGCGGGGGAGGGACCGGTGCGCGTCCCCGGCCGCGCCCCTCGCGTGGCCGGGCGGGCACTCACCTCCTTCCTCCGGCTCGGCGCTCCGGGTCGGGTGATGAGGGCCGTCTCCTCGCACACCACGGCCACGTCTTCCACGAACACGCAGTCGGGGAGGCTCTCGTCGGCTGGCAGCTTCACCACCTGCAGCCCCAGCTTACTGCCCAGCACGCCCACGTAGAGCTGATGCTGCCGCTCGGCACGGGCGAAATCCACCTCGTCGCCCTTGGCGCGCCTCAGCGCGTGCTGGCAGAGGGACTCGGGCAGCGCCCGCACCACGGCATGGGTGGCCCGGCCGAAGGCGGCGGGGTGGCCGAGCGCTGCCATGGCTCCAGGAGGCTGCGGGGCGGCGGCGGGGGCGCGGCGGCCGGGTCCTCCCGCGGGCAGCGCGCAGAGCCTGCGAGCGCCCGGCGGCTTCCCTTGGCAGCAGATGAATGTGATGCAGAAAGAGCCCCGCTCGCGCCCGGAGCCCTGCCCGCGCGACTGAGCATGCCCAGAGCTCCCGGCGCCGGCCCGCGCGCAGCCCGCGCGCCCACCCCGGCGCTCTCGGGTTTTGCGGCAGCCTACGTGGGGGTTGTAGTGGCGAGCACCGCACGAGGAGTGGGCTCGCGGAGGCTGCGGAGGGAGCGGGGAGCGAGCGAGCCGTGCGCTGGTGGGGGACCTAGGTGGACGCGGCCCTGACGTTACCTGTATTCCGCCGCAGGTGCACACCTCACATCAGCCCCAAGGCGCACGTGGAGAGCGTGCAGTGCTCTGGGCAGAGTGACTGGAGGGCTTCTCGGGGGTCAAGAGGCAAGGGATAGGATGATGCCTCCGTGGTTAAATACTTTGACCTCTCTCCCTACTCTCTTGGTCCCAGGTTGCCCAGCACGTGGTACCACCCCCACTTCCTGGCGTGAGAATCTCTCTCTCTTCGTACCCAAGTCCGCCAATGACCCCTCACCCCAGGTGAGACTCGCGATTATAAAAAGAGTGCTTTTCTTCCCGTCTGTGATAAAGAGGAAGAGTCCAAAAACACACGTAGAGAAAAACAGACATATAGAAACTCAGAGTATTTCAAGGACAGTCCGTTGTCACGAACAATGTGATTCTGGTGTGTTTGTCTCCAGGGGCCGCAGACTAGGGGAGGCAAAGACCAAGCACGCTTTCCCCACTACAGAGAAGCGCTCACCTTGCGTAGCGTCAGACTTCATAGCGTTACAACTTCTCATCCCTGGAAAAGGTTTCCAGCCTTCTCCCTGGCCTTCCCCTCACGCCTGTACAGGCTCCGTGCAATTTCTCCTGGTATTTGTTGAATGTTTCTTTTTCCATACACCTTAGGCAGTGTCTTTCTCTTCTTAATGGCACTTAATGCCTATTTTTCTCCTCTTACATATCGTAGATTAAATCATCCATGAATTCTGTTTCTTTTGAGGGGAAAATCCACTTCAAAACCCAGACCCTAGCTCCAAAATAATCTCAGGTAATAATCTTGTTTCCTCATATTCTGTAGCACATTTCTAATTTAAAGATTGATTAGATCATAGAAAACAATAGATTTGAATGAGACATCAGAAATCCTCTAACTTCCCACCCAGTGGTCCTGAATTCCAGCTAGAACATCTATGAAAATCATCAGATCTGAAAACATTTTATTTAAAACAAATTTTTAATGTTTATTTTTGAGAGAGAGAGAGAGAGCGCGCGAGAGAGCGAGTGCGCACGCAAGTGGGGGGAGGGGTGCCGAGAGTCGGACTCACAGAATCTGAAGCAGGCTCCGGGCTTTGAGCCCAACCACATGGGGCTCAAACTCAGGAGCCTTGAGATCATGACCTGACCTGAAGTCAGATGCTCAACTAACTGAGCCACCCAGGTGCCCCAGATCTTAAAACATTTTAAACCTCTCTTACAAAGCGTATTCTACTTTTGAAGAGCTATAATGGTTAAAATCTTCATTTTGGGCTTAAAACCCACTGGTTCCTGTTCTGTCTTCTAGCCTTACCTAATAGGCTAGTATTCTTTCACATTACTTGAAGACAGTTCTAACATCTACACTGCCTGACACCACCCTCCCACCCACCATCTTGACTCCTTCTAGGCCTTGAGCCTGAACCACCAAAAAGTAACTAGTGATTTGGTTTCCAACATTCTGGTCATCTTCTTTTTGACACACACCAGTTCGCCTGTATCCCTTTAAATCATGGTATCTGGCCAGATTTCATTCTTTCTCATTGCCACGTAGTATTCCATTG